AGGGGGGGGTGCAGCTCCTGGGGGGGTGGGAAGCAGGGGATGGTGGAGAGCGCGGCTCCTGGGGAGGGGAGTTTGGCTTCACCCCACTGAGAGCTGCTGATCCCTGCAGTCCCCCGTTGCTGCCAAGAAGGAGAAGAAAGTGTCCTGCATGTTCATCCCCGACGGCCGCGTCTCCGTCAGCGCCCAGATCGACAGGAAGGGCTTCTGTGAAGGTGAGGGGCTGCCCCACAGCTTGGGGGTGGGGATGGGGGGGTGACTCCTGACTGCCCCACAGCTTGGGGGTGGGGATGGAGGGGATGAGGGGTGACTCCTGACTGCCCCACAGTTTGGGAGGTGGGGATGGAGGGGATGAGGGGTGACTCCTGGCTGCCCCACAGCTTGGGGGTGGGGATGGAGGGGATGAGGGCTGCATTCTGACCCTGCTGAGCGCCGCGCTGCTCCCGTTGCAGGCGATGAGATCTGCATCAACGCCGACTTTGAGAACACGTGCTCCCGAATCGTGGTGCCCAAAGCTGCCATCGTGGCCAAGCACACGTACCTGGCGGGCGGGCAGACCAAAGTGTTCACCCAAAAGCTGTCGTGCGTCAGGGGCAATCACATCATCTCGGGGATGTCGGAAAGCTGGAGGGGCAAAACCATCCGCGTGCGCAAACTGAAGCCGTCCATCCTGGGTTGCAACATCCTGCGCGTGGAGTATTTCCTGCAGGTGGGTGGGGGGGGTGGGTGGGTGCCCCCCGTGGGGCTGTGGGTCACTGTGGGGCTATGGGTGCCCCCCGTGGGGCTGTGGGTCGCTGTGGGTCACTGTGGGTCGCTGTGGGTGCCCCCCGTGGGGCTGTGGGTCGCTGTGGGTGCCCCCCGTGGGGCTGTGGGTGCCCCCCGTGGGGCTGTGGGTGCCCCCCGTGGGGCTGTGGGTGGCTGTGGGTGCCCCCCGTGGGGCTGTGGGTGGCTGTGGGGCTGTGGGTGCCCCCCGTGGGGCTGTGGGTCACTGGGTGCCCCCCGTGGGGCTGTGGGTCACTGTGGGTGCCCCCCGTGGGGCTGTGGGTCACTGTGGGGCTGTGGGTGCCCCCCATGGGGCTGTGGGTCACTGTGGGGCTGTGGGTGCCACCCATGGGGCTGTGGGTCGCTGTGGGTCACTGTGGGTGCCACCCATGGGGCTGTGGGTCACCGTGTGTTGCCGTGATGCTCACAGCTTCAATCCTGCCTTCACACAGATCTACGTGAGCGTGCCGGGCTCCAAGAAAATCATCCTGGAGCTGCCCCTCGTCATCGGCAGCCGCTCCGGCATCGGCAGCCGCAGCTCCAGCATGGCCAGCCAAGCCAGCTCTGAGATGAGCTGGGTGGATCTCAACCTCCCCGATGCTCCAGAAGGTGAGGATGGGGGCGGGGGGCTGATGGATGGGTTTGGGCTGAGGGGTTTTGGATGGGTTTGGGGTTGGGCAGAGCGGAGCTCATCCGTCCCCGTGCCCCCACCCAGCCCCGCCGTGCTATCTGGACATCGTGCCCGAGGACCACCGGCTGGAGAGCCCCACCACCCCGCTGCTGGACGACCCCGATGGCTTCGACAGCCCCATCTTCATGTATGCGCCCGAGTTCAAGTTCATGCCGCCGCCCACCTACACCGAGGTGAGGGGGGGTCTCCGTGGTGGGGGGGGGGGGGGGGGGGGGGGGGGGGGGGGGGGGCGGCGGGGGGGGGGGGGGGGGGGGGGGGGGGGGGGGGGGGGGGGGGGGGGGGGGGGGGGGGGGGGTCGGGGGGGGGGGGGGGGGGGGGGGGGGGGGGGGTCTCCGTGGTGTGGGAGGGGTCCTGAGGGCTTCAAGTCGCAGCTGCTGAACGCCCACCCGCCTTCCTCACACAGGTGGACCCCTGCGTGGCCAACAGCACCAACAACAACACCACCAACACCACCACCAACACCAACAGCACCACGGTGCAGTGACCGCACGCTGCTGGCCTTCGCTTCCGACCTGCAGGCGCTGGAGCCGTGAGCCAGCCGTGAAGCAGCACCCACCGCCGGCAGACCCCCCGCAGCAGCACCTATGGGTGCTGCGGACCCCAAAGAAGAGAGAGGGGGAGGGAAGGGGGGGGGTGGGGTGCTTTGGGGCTCAGTTTGGGGCTCCCATAGCTGTGTGTGTCTGTCTGTCCGTCCGGCCGGCCGGCGCTGACCGCTGGCTGTGCTGGGTGCAGCCCAGGTCCCAGCTGCTGCTCTCAGGTTTTGAGTTCTGTGCATTTCCCGACCCCAGTGGGGTGCTGAGCCATAAAGGGGGAGGGGGGGGGGTTGGAGGGGAGGGGGG